ATTTTGCCTTCCTGGGCTCGGGCCTCAGCTTCACCTGCCGCCCACCCTGCATAAGAGCTCCGCCTCAGAAGTGGGTGGGGCGCGTGCGGGGCGTGGCTTATTACCGATTCGGCCAAATGAAGGAAATGCTTCGGATCCCTCTCCGCCTTTTGGAATGCCAGTTTCGTGACGGCATTCCTTCATTTCTATCTCAGATATTCCGCCTTATTTTTTTACTTGCCGCTCCCAGTCCTCGTGTTTGTCGTCGTCGTCGTCGCCGTTGCCGTCATCGTCGGCATATTTCTCGTCGTCGCCGTCGTCGTCGTTATCACTCTCTTCCCGCCCTAACCTTCTTGCTCTTCTCGTCCTGCCTGTCCTGAACGCTCTCGCTTTCCTTTCCCTTTGTTACAGCCGTCAATTTCGGCAACCTTCCCATTTCCATCCGCCTATCAATCGATCGATCTCTGTTTCTGTCCTGGTGCCTTTGGGGGGTGCCCCTACATCTCCCCCCTCCCCCTGTCTCATCTCCGCCACTTCCCCCTTCCGCTCCATTCTCGTCCCCGCACCCTCACTTTGCTTCTCGCGTCTCCTGAATTGTATATGCTCCTCATGCTGGTGTCTTTCCCTCCCCGCACTGTGGCTAGTCACAGTGTTCGCTGCGGCCTCCAGCGTCGTTACCACAGTGGCAGTCTATCGCCATCGTCATCCAACCTTTTGTAGGACATCAACAAGATGATGCGCTGGCCCGTGCCACAGGACCTGGATGCTGACGAGGATTGCGCTTGAACCGTGGATTCGTCAAACGAACGAGCAAGAGGGCTTGACATCTGGTTTGATATATTCGGCCAATTTTTATGAAAAGGTTTCTTCTCGTTTCTGATGCTCTCTCTACCCTTTGTCTATCTACAATCTGCAGTCTCACGTCTCTCGTCTCCACCTCCATCTCTGTGTGTCTCTGTCTCTGCTTGTGTCTCTGACTCCTCCTCTGCTCATACTTTTTGTTTATGAATTTCTGGTGCGGTCCCCGTTCCTCGTCCCGCATCTGCGTCAGTCTCCGTCAATTTCCATCTCTCTGCCTCTCTGTCTTTCCCTCTCCGTCTCACAATTTTCTATTCTTCCTCTTTGCCTCAATCACTCCTTTCGCTCCCAGTCCTGTCTCCCCATCTCCCTAGCTCTCCGTACTGCGTTGCTTTGCCGTATGTTTTGTGTGCTGTTTCCCTTCGCTCCCCTGCCTCTCTTGAAGATCCCTTACGCTCTGCCCGTCTCTCCCTCTCACTCTGTATCTTTCTCTCTTGCGCGTATTCACTACTCCACAATGTGGCTTGTTGTCGTGGCCGTTTTCAGACTGCCCCCCCCCCGCTGCATTCGACGGGGAGTTTTTGCACCCTTGTTCTCCCTCTCGCGAGATTCGCCGAAAGGGTGAGCGCCTATAAAGACTTGCCAATGTCAGACCTCCGATGCAGTGTTTTTCAAACTGAGGGCCCCTCGACCACATCCCCGGGACGAGCTTTTCATAGCGGGTATATTTCTGATGTTCCAGGGGCCCTTTTGGACGTCGAAATAGCTCAAACGATCGTCGCTTTTTGTTCGCCCCCCGATGTCTGGAGATATGGGATTAACACTGCTTGACTATATCAGGATGTGCATGCACGTGGAACACAGCGCAATGCGCGAGGTGTCGCGAATCGTGCAAGCAATGAATGCGACATTAAGTCGATGTGCGCGGCGACCTCGAAGCCTTACCCTTTTTTTGCATCTTTTCGTGATGTCGCCTCTGTGTGTTTCCCCTCATAGCCACGCGTGAAATACAGGTTTGGTTTGCATGCCAGGATCGAACTCGCATCTACCAGTTGCTGGGTTCGGAATGATGCGCAGTTCTTCGAACAATGATTCAATGCCGCCCACATGTCTTGTGGCACGCTGTGGGTGGTAGAAAGGATGACGAGCATTACTTGGGGAATCGAGGTTCATAGCCTTCACCAGCCTCGCACCGATCACAGAAAGGACCAGACTGCTGCAAGAAGCGACGTCGCTCGTTTTGCCTGTCGCTTCCCTGCTAGCGCAAAGCTGGTGCACATGACGTGGCCAGCCTGGGCAAGGGCTGCGTGCACATGTGGCCGGGCGGGGGACGCCAGGCTTCTGCGTGTGCAGTCAGCGTGTGGCCTCCAGACCTTCCAACACTTGAATCCAGTCGCGTGCGGATGTGCGTGTGTTCGGCTTCTTTTGTGGTCTGTTTGCCCTGGATGTGCCCACGCGCGCTCTTCAGGTGTTCAGAGCTCCTGCGCCGCTTCACCTCCCCGCGCTGAACGAATGGTCACCGAGGTTTTTCGCCGTCGTCGTCCCCTCTGTTCCCTTACAGGGCTCGGGGCCGTCAGAGAACGACTCGTGCTGAAAAGCTGGCCCTGGGGACAGGGTCGGGACTTTCGGGGACCCCGTATCGAATCATGATATGTGATCCCTGGGTGATTTCCGCCACCCCCAACTCCTCTCATCTCCCCTCCGTCCTCCCGCTCCCGTTCCTCCGCCTCGCTCTGCTCGGCCCCCCTCCCGTGCGCAACGATACGCCGCGAAAGGAGACCAAGGAGCTCACCGCCCAACAAGAAGAGTTGTTTTCAATTCAGGCTAATCTCCTGAGGAGCCAGGTGCCTGGTGAATCGCACATGCACGCTTTGTGGGCAGCACGCATATTCTATCCTCCACGATCTGTGGGAATACCCAACACTCGCGGAGCCGAGAGAGCTGCGATCCCTGGGGCTCTGGGACGATCTTCAGCATCTGTGTGCTGCGGCTGTGGGCGCGTCTGCGATGCAGGAGAGTTTGCTGTTCTCGCGGGGTCTGTTCGCTCAAGCACCATGGGATGAGCTTCCTCGACCTCAGACCCGCGGTTGCGCGCCCGGCGTCGCCAATGGAGGGCGATGTCTCTTTATGGTCTGCGGGTCTGCGCGTGCCACTGGTCCGCTGGCCCCCTACAACGACAGAGCGGCGACAGTTGGGCGCCTTGCAGGGTCTTCGTGCGCCACCTCTCCGCCGCGGGGTCGCCCGCGCTCTCCCGCCCCGTTGGGTCTCGACTGCGGAGCCCCTCCTCCCCTTGCCTCCGCGGTCGGCCTCTGCTTTTCCACCCATCTCTGCGCCCCGCGCCCGGTGCGCCCCGCTAGCGTCGTCCCGAGTAGGAGTGTCACCGCTCCTCTGGGCCTCCCCCATGGAGGCGCAGGAAAGTGTCGAATCGTTGTGCGCCTGGCAGCGCCCAGGCAGGGCATTGTCTCATTTGGGCCTGCGTGTGCTACGGCTCCGCTGGGCCCCACATGGTTGCACGAAAGTGGCGACGGTTGCGCGCCGACAGGTCTCGTTTGGGCCTGCGCGTGTCGCCGCTCGGATGGACCACCCACGGGCGCAGGAACGTTGCGACTGCTGTGCGCATGGCCGCACCCAGGGTGCCTGGGGAGACGGTGACAAGCGGAGGAGGAGGAGAGGGATCGGGAGGAAGCGGGGGGAGGAGGAGGAGGAGGAGGAGAAGGAGGAGGATGATGATGATGAGGAGGACCAGTGGAAACCCAAGAGTCATCAACGATGTTGGAATTAGCCCTCGCTCCAAGCTCCCTCTTCATAGGCCCCTACAACGGTTCATTTCCATTGAGGGAGCTGCCTCGTTGGAACACAACAGTTTGAAGATCCTGAAGCGTGCCAAAACATTGTTTTCGGGAATTCAGCGCCACGTATCAACCTGACTGCTGCGTCTTGACGATCCAGAATCGTGCCAGAACGCCATTTTTGCAACTCAGCGAATCAACATAAGTGTTGCGCCCGCATAATCCAGAATCCTTCCAAAACACCATTTCTGGTATGCTGATCATGGGAACCTGTGAAGCTCTTGTAATTTTTGACAACGAATGTGCGCGGCGCTAACGCGAGAGCCACATTTTGAAAACCACCCGCCCTCAACCCGCGAAGCTCTTGAACTTTTTTGAAACGAATGTGCGTGGCGCTACGGCGAGAGCCACATTTTGAAAACCACCCGCCCTCAATCCGTGAAGCTCTTGCAAAATTTTAAAACGAATGTGCGCGGTGCTACGGCGAGACCCACATTTTGAAAGCCACCCGCCTTCAACCCGCGAAGCTCTTGAACTTTTTTGAAACGAATGTGCGCGGCGCTACGGCGAGAACCACATTTTGAAAACCACCCGCCCTCAATCCGCGAAGCTCTTGCAAAGTTTTAAAACGAATGTGCGCGGCGCTACGGCGAGAGCCACATTTTGAAAACGACCAGCCCTCACTCCGTGAGCATCTGGCATTTTTTTGTAAAACTAAGGTGCGCGGCGCTCCGGCGAGAACCTCGTTTTGAAAACGACCCGCCCTCCACCTGCGGAGTTGTTGTCACTCTTTAGGCGTCAGAGTCATACAGGGTGAGGAAAGTTCAGGCGAAACGCCCAGCCCGCCTTCAAAAACTGGCTTCGGGGTGCGGCAGGGAGAAGTTATCTATAATGAGAAGGAATGAAGGAGGAGGAGGAGGAGGAGGAGGAGGAGGAGGAGGAGGAGGAGGAGGAGGAGGAGGAGGAGGAGGAGGAGGAGGAGGAGGAGGAGGACGAGGAGGAGGAGGAGGAGGAAGAGGAGGAGGAGGAGGAGGAAGAGGACCAGTGACCAGTGGAAACCCAAGAGTTATCAACGATGTTGGAATGAACACTCCCTCCAAGCTCCCTCTTCATAGGATCCCACAGCGGTTTATCACCATGAAGGGAGCTGTCTCGTTGGAAGAACCGTTTGAAGATCTTGAAACATGCCAAAACATTGTTGTCGGGATTTCAATGCCACGTATCAGCCTTGATGCTGCGTCTTGACGATCCGGAATCGTGCTGTTGAGGGACACCGAGGAAAGAAGAGGTTGAACTAGAGCCTGAGGCGTTACCATTGCGCCATCCTTCCGCAGCCTCTTGTAGCGGAGCTGGCTACGGCCAGCTCCCGCTGGGCGCCCCCCCCGCGTGTAGGGGCGCTGGCCATAGCTTTGGCGGCCGCGGCCGCATGACCAGTTTTGAACCACGGCGACCAGCTGACACAGCAGCTGGCCAAGGTCTTCGTGACCAAGCAGCTGAATGAGGTCTACGTGACCAAGCAGCTGGCCAATGTCTACGTGACCGCAGGAGCGCTGGACAAGGTCTACGTGGCCACAGAAGCGCTGAACGATGTCTTCGTGACCACAGGAGTGGAAAACGCGGTCTACGTGACCACCGGGCAGAAGGACGAGGTCTATGTGACCACAGAGCCGAAATACGAGGTCTACGTGACCACAGAGCGGAAAGACGAGGTCTACGTGACCACCAACGAGCAGAACGAGGTCTACGTGACCACCGACGAGCAGAACGAGGTCTCCGTGACCACAGACAAGCAGTACGAGGTCTACGTGACCACAGAGGAGCGGGACGAGGTCTACGTGACCACCGACAAGGAGTACGAGGTCCATGTGACTACCGACGAGGAGTACGAGGTCCAGGCGGCCACAGACAAGCAGGACGAGGTCTACGTGACCATGACGGAGCTGGCGCGGAGTGGCAGGGCTTCGGGCTGAAGCCACCGACGTTCGACGGCCACGAAGAGACGCGGTCGGAGTGGAGTTTCGTGATGAGGGCCCACCTGGGAGGACAAACGGCGCAAGCGCTGAACCTCCTAGAGGCGGCTGAGCAGCGAGGAGTTCCAGACAGCAGCAGGGCAGAGACGTTGCATCGTCTGGGAGCTGAAGGAGTTACGGCGACGCAGAAGACGTTCTTCGCGCTGGTCATGACAGTGAAGGGCAGCGCCCAGACGCTGATCAGGAGTGTAGAAGATCAGAATGGAGCGCTGGCATGGCGAGCGCTGATCAAGCGCTACGAGCAAGCCGCGGTGATGAGAGCGCAAAGTATCATGACGGCGTTTCCCAGCGTGAAGAATTCCCTTTCGGACCTGGCAGGGTTCGAGCAGTACCACTCAGAGTGGGGGCGCGACATCAGGCGCTACGAGACGGCGTCGGAAGAGGTGTTCGATGCAGGAGTTAAGAAGGTCATCTACCTACAGAAGGTGCCGAATAACATCATAACGGTACCACAGATGCAGAGAGAAAGAAGCTGCGACGAACTGATCGCCACCGCGATGCAGTACCTACAAGCGGCGACGGTGTACGAGGACGGGTGCCAGCAGGAGTGGCCAAGCCCACCAGGGCCAGGAGGAGAAGGCAGCAGAGCAAACCGAACCTCAGGAGCCATGGAAGTGGACGCGCTGACACGTCAGTATCCCAAAGGCAAGGGCAAAGACGGCAAGGGCAAGGGTGGAGACATCAAAGGCACAGTCAGGACCAAAGACCAGAAGGGCAAGGGCGCGGATCCCATGGCGAGGGCGGCAGCAACGCGACAGCCAGCCTGGACTATGTCAGGGGTGCCTGGGGCGAGGCTATGCTGCGCATGTGGCCGGAGGGGGCGCTATGCAAGGGGTTGCTGGTATCGAAAGGAGAACCCCAATTACGACGGGTTAGCAGGAGGCCAAGAACGGGCAGAAAGGCGGAGTGCATGAGATCACGATGTGCGACGGCTGGATCAACGTCATCGCGCCGCCGCCAGGGAGTCCGGCACCATCGACAGCAGGACCTTCAGTCAGCCGAGTGGGAGCAGGGGTTCGTGCGATCGCCGCGATAGACGAGCGCGCGACAGAGTGGGAAGGTGGCTTCATCTCCGCAGTCGCGAAGGACTGGAAGCCAGCGGTGCAAGGGAAGGATCCGCAGCATGATGGGGGACGGCGTGTGGCGTTCGTTCTGGATGTTGACGGATAGCTGCGCAGATGAGCGCGCGCGGCATCGGGGGCCCCCGGAACATGGAACTCAAACCAGGACGTAACCCAAACTTGGCGGTCGCAGACGGCGCGCCACTGAGGCGCCACGGATCGAAGACGGTGACGCTCTACATCGCAGGCGACAGACGCATTATTATGGAGTTCCAGGTCACTGACGTGAAGCAGCCCATCATGAGCGTAGGCAATTTCTGCAGCAGGATGGAGAACCGCGTGGCTTGGTGCGACGGCAAAGGAGGACTGCTGCGGCACGAGACGGCAGGATTGGTCAAGCTCAAGAAGATCAACAACCACTACGCACTGGAGTGTTGGACCAGGATGTACGTTGACATGGAGGGGGTCCACGAGCAGATGACGCTGCTGGCACCGATCGGGGCAGCAGTCGCAGCAGCGCGACCAGGTGAAGAGGGCGAAGACGGAGACGCAGTACTGCGAGCACTGGCAGGGGGACCAGGAGGACTACCACCAGGAGAGCGGCAAAAACCGCAGGTCGCATCTCGAGGAGCTGCAGATGTACTTGCGGATGCACCGCCAGAGGGGCCAGTGGCAGTTCCCGACGATCGCGAGACGGTGGGACCAGAGACGACAGCCAGTGGACTTCCTGGACCTCGAGAGCCAAGTGCGGAGGAGATCGAGAGGCACGAGCTGACGCACCACACAGCTGAACCATGGTGTGAGATCTGTATTCAGGCGAAGGCCAACGACATAGCCCACAAGAAGAAGGATCGACGCGACGAGCTGACCACTGCTGAGCTTCGACTACGGCCAGGCGGGCATCGAGGGGGACCCCGTCAACTTCGAGTTCGTAGTGGGCAGCGACGCTTCGACCGGGCGCATCTGCACCGCGGCCATCATCTAGAAAGGTCGAGACGACGCCAACACAGTGGCATCGGCGGTTTCGTGGTTAGCTGAATTTGGGCACTCACGAGTGGAATTGCAAGCAGGAGGAGCAGCCGAGTTCTCATTCATCATGGCAGTCAGGGCCAGGGCGATCAAATGCGGCATCTGCGAGGCGATCATCATGAGGCAGTCGGAGACGTACTACAGCCAGGCGTACGGCAGGGCCGAGAGGGCCATCCAGACGGTGAGGAAGCAAGTGGGGGCGCTGATGCTGCAGGTCAACAAGAAACTGAAACGCGACCTCAAGCCCGACTCCCCGTTCCTCGCGTGGTTGCCCAGGCATGCAGCGTGGCTCTGCAACAGATGCGCGATCAGGGAGGACACCAACATCACACACCCTACGAGAAAACCCACCTGCTCAAGTACCAGAAGCTCATCGTCGCAGTCGGCGAGGCAGTGATCTGCAGGAGGCCAGAAGCCCAGGTCAACAAGCTGGAGTTATCGTGGCTGGAGGGCATCTGGCTAGGGCGCGACGCGAGGGCGGGCGAGCACCTGATCGGAACGTCGACGGGGGCGTGCAGGTCCAGGGCAGTGAATGGGGAAGGTGGAGGGCCGACGCTGGGGCAAGGAGCTGTTCGACAAGACGAGGTGGGCACCCTGGGGGCCGACGCCGGCCGCGAGGGGGGGGCCGCCAGCGCAGAGGTCACTGCAGGAACTGATTCGACTCGGGCCGTTGCCGAAGAACTTGGGCCCGCGCGCGTCAGCCGCAGCCGCGGCAGGAGCAGCGGCAGGAGAAGGGCCACAACCAGCGCCGCCGCAGCAGGCAGCAGCAGCAGCGGCAGCACCGTGCGACGACGTGGATATGGACAAGAAGCGATTGGAGGCGAAGAGGCCCAGGGGCGAGGCGGCAGGACCGTCGACGCCAAGGGCGGCGCCGCCGCAGCCAGTGGGCATTCCGCTGGTGGAGAGGGGCCCCAAACGAGAACGCGAAGGCGGATGAAGAAACGAAGGCGAGCCGTCCAGGGTCACGACCGCCCAGATGATCAATGCGGTCAGGGAGATGTGCGAGGAGCCGCAGGTGGAAGACGGGGGGGCGCACGCGCTGGGCGGCGACTTCGCGGGGGCAAGGAAGGAGCACTTGGAGAAGATCGCAGGGGGCGGCAAGGAGATCGCGAAGGTACCTCCGATCAAGGACACGACGTCCAAGATCTTGACGGGGAAGTGGGTCGACACCTACCGGGCGGACGGCAGCGAGAAGAGTCGGTGGACCGCGGAGGGTGTCGATCAGCAGGTGTACAGACCCGAGAATTTCGTGGCCGCGACCCCCTCACTTCCGCACCTGAAGGCGATGCTGGTCAACGCGGAGTTGCACGACCACGTGGTGGCGTTTGGCGACTGCAGTGGGGCGTTTTACCAGGCGCCGCTCACCGAGGGCCGCATCTCCCTGCAACCGCCGCCAGAAGCAGGAGTACCTGAAGGACATGTTTGGGAGGCGCTGCGCGCGTTTCCATGGCTCGAAGGAGCGCCGAATGTTTGGGGGGACCACAGTGCGAACGCCATGGGGGAGCTCGAGATGGTCAGGGGTCACTACGACGGGTGTCTCTCTTCATGAAGCTGAGCAAGCAGTTGAGGGCAGGGGGGCGGGCCGACGACTTCCTGATCACTGGGCCGAGCGACGACGTTGACAAGCTGTTAGAGGTCATGGGAGAGAGACTGGAGTTATCGGACGTGGTGAAGCTCACCAAGAACGGAGATCAGGCGACGTTCCTGAGCATGCAGGTGGAGAAGGCCGGGGGCGGCTACGCGATCAGCGGCAAGACGAGCTTGATCGACGACATCCTGAAGGAGCTAGACTTGGAGACGGCGAAGCCATCAGTGCTGCCCGAGACCAAGAACGAGAACGACGAGGTGAAGCTCGACACGACGGGCCACAGTCGCTGCAGGACCCGTGTGGGAAAGCTACCGCAGTTGGCGAGCCACCGACCTGACGTTCAACGTGGAGTTGGAGTTCTAAGCAGGGGCATGTCAGGACCGACGGAGAAGGACCTGAGGAGGTTGAAGAAGATGACTCGGTACCTTGGCGGCACGCGAGACTACGTGATGCTGTTGGTTCCGAACAGAGGAGGTATTCCAGTGGAGTGCTGGGTGGTCGCAGACTGGGCCGATGACGAGACGGACAGGACCTCGACGATTGGCGGCGTCCTGAAGTGCCGCGGATGCACCGTCCTGTCGTGGTCAAGACGCCAGGGCTGCGTGGCACTGGGTTCGGCGGAGAGCGAGCTATGCGCGCTGGGGCCGGGGGCAGCAGAGGCTCTCGGACTGGCATCGCTACCCGAGGAGTGGAAGGAGAAGACGATGCCGCTCGTGATGAGCGACATCAGCAGTGCGCTACACATCGTGACGAAGCACGGGCCAGGGAAGATGAAACACGTGGGGATGCGCTTCCCGGCACTGCAGCAGTGGCGAGAACAAGGACGATTGAACTTCCGTAAAGTAGGCGCTCACGGGAACCCGAGCGACATGATGACCAAGCCGATGACCAAGGAGAAGCTGGAGACATGTTCGGAGATGGCTGGTCTGGTACGCTCGCAGGGAGATAGAGGCTTGAGCCCAGGTGGGTGAGTGAGAAGTATAGAAAGATAAGTTTTTGAGAGGAGAAAGGCCTCAGTGGCCGCGCTACCCCCCGTTCCATTTTAGAGGTTGTTTTGAGAACGTTTCCCTCCGAGGTCTGGGTCCAGAGTGGACCTGGCGCCCTCGAGGGCGTGTTGAGTGAAACCGACGAGAGAAGAGGTTGAACTAGAGCCTGAGGCGCTACGATTGCGCCATCCTTCCGCAGCCTCTTTGGCACAAAAGTTATCACGTGCGAGAGCGCCTTTTTTGGGACTTCGACACCGCGATCTGTTGCGCCGGCATAGTCCTGAATCCTTCCAAAACACAATGTCTTGTGCGTTGATCATGGGAATCCGTGAAACTCTTGCAATTTTTCAAAAACGAATGTGCGCGGCGCTAAGGCGATAACCACATGCTGAAAACTACCCGCCCTCAATCCGTGAAGCTCTTGCATTTTTGAAGCGAGTGTGCGCGGCGCTACGGCGAGAACCACACTTTGAAAACGACCCGCCCTCAATCCGTGAACTTCTTGCATTTTTGTGTAAAACGAATGTGCGCGGCGCTAAGGCGAGAGCCACATCTTCAAACCCACCCGCCCTCAAGCCGTGAAGCTCTTGCAAGTTGTTTAAGCGAATGTTCGCGGCGCTGAGGCGAGAGCTACATTAAAAAACACCCGCCCTAAATCCGTGAAACTCTTGCAGTTTGAAGAACATCGAGTGTGCGCAGCGCTAATGCCAGAGCCACATGTTGAAAACGACCCTCCCTCGATCCGTGAAGCTGATGTCAAACTGTTGTACTTTTTAAGCTTCAGAATCATAAATGGTGAGATGGCCACTTTTAGCCTCAGAGTCATAAGTGGTGAGAAAATCTCCAGCGAAACGCCCGGCCCGCCTTAAACATTGGCCTCGGGGTGCGACAGGGAGGAGTTATCCATAAAGAGAAGGAATTGAGGAGGAAAAGGAGAAGGAGGCGGATGATGAGGATGATGATGAGGATGATGAGGAGGAGGTGGAGGAGCAGGGGAAGGAGGAGGAGGAGGAGGAGGAGGAGGAGGAGGAGGAGGAGGAGGTGGAGGAGGAGGAGGAGGAGGGGAGGGGAGGAGGAGGAGGAGTAAGAGGAGGAGGCGGAGGAGGAGGAGGAGGAAAAGGAGGAGGAGGAGGAGGATGTGGAGGAGGTGGGGGAAGAGGAGGAGGAGGAGGAGGAGGAGGACAAGAAGGAGGAGGAGGAGGAGGAGCATCAGCAGCAGCAGCAGCAGCAGGAGGAGGAGGAGGAGGAGGTGGAGGAAAAGGAGGAGGAGGAACATCAGCAGCAGGAGGACGAGGAGGAGGAGGAGCAGGAGGAGGAGGAGGAGGAGGATTAGAAGGAGATGGAGAAGGAGATGCTATCGTCAAGACAATATTCCGACACAGAAAGGGTAAGGGAAACATACGGCGCTGCTGCTCTGGGGAACCGTGTCGGGCGATTCCGGCAGCGCGCCGCGCCTGTTGGAGCGGAGCTCCCCGCTCGAAGAGCGAGCGTGGGCCTTGTCATGATGCGAAGCAAAAGGTGTCGGGCGATCAGGATTAGGAGGAGCATGACGGGGAGGCAGAGAGTAGGAGGAGGAGGAGGAGGAGGTCCCAGGGGTCCTGGCGCCGCATGTTCACCACGGGCAATTTTGTCTTACTTCGGGGTCCAGCTCGAAAAATGTGAGATAAGAATGGGGTCAGGGCTCCGCACGATTTTTCACAATGTTGCATTTTTCTCGTGACGTCGGATCTCAGGGGAGAAGGATGGTGATGATGATGGTGGTGGTGATGATGATGCTGCTGATGCTGAGGATGAGGATGCTGCCGATGATGATAACTATAATGAATGTCATGATGCTGATACTGATTCTGATGATGATACTGCTGCTGATGAAGCTGATGATGCTGCTGATGATAATGCTGACGACGACGATGCTGATGCTGATGATGCTGATGATGATGCTGATGCTAATGATTATGCTGCAGATGATGATGATGATGCTGATGCTAATGATGATGCTAAACATGATGCTAATGATGATGACGCTGTTGATGCTGCTGTTGATGATACTGCTGCTGATGCTGATGCTGATGATCATGATGCTTATGAGTATGATGATAAGGATGATGATGATGATGATGATGATGATGAGGATGATGATGATGATGATGATGATGATGATGATGACGACGATGATGATGATGCTGATGATGATGATGATGATACTGACCTTGATGCGGCTGACGATGATACTGATGATGCTGGTGCAGTTGATGACGATGATGATGCTGACGATGACGATGCTGATGACGATGATGACGATGATGCTGATTATTATTATGATGATGCTGCTGCTGATGATGATTATGATGATGGATGTGGTGGTGGTTTTGATGATGATGCTGCTGATGATGATGATGATGAGGATGCGGGTTATGATGCTGATTATGATGAGTATGATGATGATGATGATGATGATGATGATGATGATGATGATGATGATGATGATGATGATGATGCTGCTGATGATGATGATGATGATGATGATGATGCTGATGATGATGATGATGATGATGATGATGATGATGATGACGAGGATGATGCCGATGAGGATGCTGATCATGATGCTGATTATGATGATGACGATGATGTTGATGATGAGGGGGATGATGACGATGATGCTGTTAATGACGATGATAATGCTGATGATGATGACGATGATGATACTGATGCTGATGCTGATGCTGATGATGCTGATGAGGCTGACGATGATGATGGTGATGGTAATTGTGATGGTGATGATGCTGCTGATGCTGATGAGGATGACGATGCTGATGCTGATGCTGCTGATGACGATGCTGATGGTGCTGATTATGCTGATGATGATGATAATACTGATGATGGTGATGCTGATGCTGAGAATGCTGATGCTGATGCGGATGATGCTGCTGATGACGATGCTGATGCTGCTGCTGCTGATGATGATGATGATGATGATGATGATGATGATGACGATTATGATGGTGATGCTGAGGATGATTCTGATGATGATGATGGTGGTGGTACTGCTGCTGTGTTGATGTTGATGCTGCTGCTGATGATGCTGATGATGAGCAGATGGAGGAGGAGGAGGAGGAGGAGGAGGAGGAGGAGGAGGAACAGGAGAAGAAGGACATGAGATGGGATGAGCCCATTCGCGACGCGAGTCGAAATATAGTTCGGACCCCCGAGCCGCCTTCTCAGCCTTGCTGAGAACTTTGGGCCAGAGGTTCCTGGAAATGCGGTCTAGGTATACCTTCCGAGTCTTGGTGATCGGGAGGGGTGGGACTGCACGGGCAGGACATACACCCGCCAGGCCCCGCAATTGCTTGTGGCCATAACACCCACAGGCTTTACATAACCACAAAAGAAGGTCGCTATGAAATAACATACTATGAGAAACATGGACCACACCCCTAGCGAGATTGAAAGTGCGACCAAGAGGCAATTTAGAGAGTACAGTCGACTTAGTGGACATCAATTTAGCCCTACCCGCTTCTGAGGTAGAGCTCATGCACCTGGAACATTTCTTCCCGCACTCGAGTAGAGTATGCTGGGAATTGAACAGAGCCACGGCCACAGGGGGCGGGGGGGAGCAGCAGCAGCAGCAGCAGGGCGCCGTTGCTTTTTCCCCTCAACCTTAATCGCCTTCAACGTAGTTCTAAGTAAACGTTCCCTGATCAACCTAACATCAGCCTCTGTCTGAAGAAGGCGTGCACGCTGCGCACACGGGACACAGAAAGTTTTGGCAGCAACCCCCGCCAGATGGTCAACAAACGTGTTGTCTGCCACCAAGGGCCCAGACAGGTTACGCGCCACAACTTCGTAGGCCTCAAGGTGGGAAGGGACCTGGAGCACAGTAAGGTCACCAGGATGACGGTCAGTCGCCTGAATGGCATCTCTAAGATTTCTCCACAGGTCGGCATTCGGCCCCATCGGGGCCAGGCACAGATCCGCCCAGAAACCGCGGCAAACTTCTTCGTTGTCCGTGACAAAAGCCATCGGGCCCCTGGACTGGGCCACAGCTAACACTAAACAGAAAAGCTCACCCCTGGGGACGGACTGGTGCCGACCAGGCAGTGGACCATACATAATTCTGACACCGGAATCACGGGCCTGCCCATGGCTACAAGACACTGCCACCCCTACTCGGCGGAGCCTGGGGTCGCGGGTGTCCCTACCCCCAGAAGAGTCGCCAAAGAGGAGGAGAGGGAAGAGAGGGGTGCCGACACCAAAATATGGGTCACTGCCTTCGTCATTCGGATGGCTTTTGACCCAAAACTCTTGGTCGGACGGGGGGTCGACATAAACCATGCCGCTGGGGATCACCCCCCTGAGCCAATAGCACTCGCATGTGTTCGCCTGGGCGATGGCCTGGGCAACAAGCTTGCCAGATACAGAAAAGGCAGGTGAATCACGATTGCACTCACACTCCCAAGCTCGATGGAGGGGAGTCCCGAGAGCCTTGCCACACCTCCTACACATATCGGGTGCCTCAATGTCGATCCCCTTTTTTCTGTCATCCGTCCAAGATCCTCCGACAGCGATCTTCATCATCAGCTCGCTGAGTTGGCGTGCGTGCCCTGGTATGCACCCGAGCTGATATAAACATCTCCGCAAACGTGTCAATGCCGTTCTCCATCCCACCTCCGCAGTGCGATGCGCGAGCGGCTTCCTTCCAGAGGTTGTCTTGTAACGACTGAGCAAATCTGCCAATCAACTCGCGCGCCTGGTCGAAAGCTCGGAACTCCTCAGACTCGAAACACCATCCATCTTCCGTCGTACCGTCTGCGGCTGGCGGGAGCCAGGTGGCTGCCCTTGGCATATCCCGCCCAGCACTGACCAGATAGTTGATGACTGCCGTGAGTGGGACCCTCACGTGACGCCATCTATGCTGGGGAGGTAGAGCGGAGAACTGCTGCGCAGCTGTCGTCCACACCCGAGAGGCAGGACCTCGGATCCGTGCA